TCAAATGAGCAATTTTTAAAAAGCATCAACATAACATTTTGACATTGACAACATGGGTGATATTTCTTTCAAATGTATTTTTAAATATTCCAAATGTTACACAATGTGATAGTGTTTCTTAAACTTATTCAATGAGTATTTTTAAATTATACAAATGTAGAGAAAATACTGAATAGTATAATAGACCACAAAGTACCTACATCTCAGACATTTAAAATATATGTAGAAATTTAAGATAAAGGAAGTCATAATATGATTGTTCCTGTAAGGAAGCTTTTTAGGCATTATGTCCATTATAAAAAGGCCATTGGAAAACTGGAGGGTGGAAGTGTGATTCTTGAGAGCTTTACAATATTGTGGTTTCTATCATACACCAACATGAATCAGCCAAGGTATACATACGTCCCCTCCCTCCTGAACCCCTCTTTCACCTCCCACCCCATCCCACCCCTCTAGATTGTCACAGAGCACGGGTTAAGTTCCCTGTGTCACATAGCAAATTCCCACTTGCTATGTATTTAACATATGGTAATGTATGTTTCCATGCTACTCTCTCATTTCATCCCACCTTCTCTTTTCCCCACTGTGTCCACAAGTCTGTTCTCTATGTCTGGATCTCCATTGCTGCCTTGCAAATGGGTTCATCAGTACCATCTTTCTAGATTCCATACATATGCATTAATATTTGTCTTTCTCCTTTTTAAAAAGCATCAAGGTCACATTTTGACATTTTGTGTCTAAGAGCTGGTTAATGAAAGGAAGCAAAGCATAAGGAACATGTGGAAACCCTGCCACCTGCCCATACTTTCTGTGTGTGTGTATGTGTGTGTGTGTGTGTAACTGCTTACAGTATCATAGTAAGCTCTTCAATGTAAAGGTAATATTTGTCTTTCTCTTTCTGACTTATTTCACTCTGTATAATAGGCTCTAGTTTCATCCAGTTCATTAGGACTGATTCAAATGTGTTCTTTTTTATAGCTGGGTAATATCCCATTGTATATGCGTAGCACAATTTCTTTATCCATTCATCTGTCAGTGGACCTCTAGGTTGCTTCCATGTCCTAGCAATTGTAAAAGGTGATGCCATGAACACAGGTCCATGCATCTTCTTTCAATTATGGTTTTCTCAGGGTATACACCCAGCAATGGGATTGTTGGGCCACATGGTAGTTCTATTCCTAGTGTTTTAAGGAATTTCCATGCTGTTCTTCATAGTGGCTGTATCAATTTACATTCTTACCAACAGTTATTGCTCACTTTTACATCATGCTGCTGAGTCTTAAATTGGGATTATATACAAATAACACTCAATAAACATACTTTGAGTTGGATCTTATTCTAAACCCTGGAGATTCTGAGATGTACTAATTCCACTCCTCCAGAATCATATAATCTGGTAATGTAGACAAATAGGGAAATAAAAAATTATTACTACACAATATGCTGGGTGGTAAATCAGAAGAACTCATAGGAAACAAAATTCACCAATAAATGTATGCATCCCCATTAACCTGTAGGCTCCCTGATGACAAAGGCCAGGCACTCTTCAATACACAGGCCTCTGGGTTTCTCACCTGGCATGGGTTCAGAAAATACTGGCTTAATTATGTGTTGTTGAGTTGAGAGCAACCAGACTGGTAAGCCATCTGGAAATTATTTGTTGAAAGACTTAAACTAACTAGGCATGTTTAACCCAAATGAAGATTACACAGGACATTTAGTCTTCAACTATTTCAAAGACTGTCACATAGTGTAGGGAATGAACTTATTCCGTAATTTTCCAGAGGGTAAAATCTTCCATGCATTTATCCTGGTTCTAATGTCTGAAATGTTACAAAATAAGTCTCCAACATGCAACACAATCTTGGCATTGCTGAAGAAGAAAAAAGTATAGGTTTTGAAGTAAATTTAAATACAGTGAATATTAGAGATAGGTTTGATTGTAGTTTTTCCAGTCATATTTAACTATTGTTCCTAATAGTCACATTTTGTGCTATGCATTAATCAACATCTCAGAACCTTATGATAATTCCTAACTATAATTATGTTCTTATTTGGTTGCAAGTCATGTCTGACTCTTTTGCCACCCCATGGACAGTAGCCCATCAGGCTCCTCTGTCCGTGGGATTACCCAGGCAAGAATACTAGAGTGGGCTGCCATTTCCTTGTCCAGGGGATCTTCCCAATCCAAGGATAGAGCTTGCACCTCCTGCATTTTCAGGAGGATTCCTTACCACTGAGCTACCAGGGAAGTCCTGTTATAATTTATTATTTATTATATTATAATATTATAATTATACATTACAGTCTAGCTGTAATTTATTTCCCTAAATTTAAAGGTAATAGATATTGATGTGATCTGAATGTGTATCCTTCCTAAAATTCATATACTGAAATCCTAATGCTCAATGTGATGATATTAGGAAATGGGACTTTTGGGAGGTGAATAGGTCCTGAGGATGAAGCTCTCATGAATGGGATTAGTGTCCTTATAAAAGAGATCTCATGGAGCTCCCCAACCCCTTATGCCGTGTGAGGACACAATGAGGAGTCTGTAACCCAGAAGAAGGCCCTTACTCAACCATACCATCACCCTGATCTCAGACATCCAGCCTCCAGAACTGTGAGGAATAAAATTCTGCTGTTGATAAGCTGCCTAATCCATGGTATTTTGTTACTGCATCCTAAATGAACTAAGAAGATAACAACGTCCTTAACTGAAAATGAGAGTTTTGCTCTTGAATATGCATTTCAAATCAGCTAATCTTAATTATATCCCACTGAATTAGTTGATTAATAAACTTCACCAACTCCCATTTTATGAAAACAAAGCCCTTGAAGCTACCTTGGGGATATGAAGTGGGAGCTAGATATCCTGACGAGAGCCTCCTACAATCTTAGTGCTTCAAGTGTTACACAGAGGAACACAAAAATGTCATGATAAACATGCCCCCAGAATGGAAGAATATTTTATCATCACAAAAGTAAAGTGTGATTCTTATCTTTGGCTAGCACTGTTACCCATTTTTCTAGAGTAAGAGAAGGTTTGGTGGACTCCCCTGGAAGGCAGGGCATCCGTCCCACCATCAGCGGGAGGCCAAGGCCTTGCAGCCTCAGCCCTCCAAACACAGCAGCTTGTGCCTGTGACAAATGGCTCACTGAGCCACAGATCCTAGTAACTCAAGGAGCCAATGCTAACAATGGCATTAGCGCACTTCCTCTTCCAGCTTCATCCCAGATGCTTATGGAAAAGTCCCTCCACTTCTACCACAACCCCTCCCCCTCCAGTTCCTCTGGAAAATGCTGTCACATGATGGCCTTAGTACCAAACCTCTTCACCAAGAGCATCCATCAGTGTCACGTTTCCAGAGGTACAATTGCTGCATTATGGTCATGTTTGTGGGATGAAGATTGAATTGAGGCCATAGAACCCATCTCAGTGGCCAATATTCGATTCACTTTCCAGCCTAAGAGGAATTTTGGGTGATTCTGTTTACCCAATTTAGGCTCAGCTAGAGTGCCGCTGCTGTATAAAAATGGGCACGTCACTGCTCTAACACTGATACTTTTGATGCTATTTATAACCCCCGTAGTGACAGGTCCTATAGAACAATAACCTGTTGGAACTATACGCATATATGTGGTTGGATTTCAAAAAATTTACACAGGAAAGATTGAGTCCTTTATTTTTTGAGTTTTAGAAAAATAATGATCTTTTTTTTTCCATTTATTTTTATTAGTTGGCGGCTAATTACTTTACAATATTGTAGTGGTTTTTGCCATACATTGATAAGGCTTCTTTGGAGGGTGTTAAAAATACAAAATTTATTTGTGGTTTTAAAAACACCTTCTGTCACTATCCAGCATGATCAGGTTTATGAAGCTAAAAGGGGAGTTGCTGTTGCTGTTTAGTCGCTAAGTTGTGTCCAACTCTTCTGCAGCCCCATGGACTGCAGCCTGCCACCTCTATCCATGGGGTTAGAATGAGACAAATGAGTGCAGGAGGCCGTCTACTTGTACTCAGATCTACTTGGCAGTAATAATTAGAGAAGAATCCATTAGGAAGAAAAGAAGTGATTGTTCCTATCTATTATCTAATCTGCTTTCACAGAAAAAGATTACAGTAAACAGCTACTCTTCCACAAATTCTGTCCTTACTACAGTGCTGGACCAGCCCAAATTCTGGTGGAAAAGGTCTAACACACAAAGTGTTGGTTAACAACTAGGCTGTCTTTATAGTTGTTTCAGGGGGAGTTGAAAATAATTTTATAGAGTGTTTTCTTAGACTTTCATCTGGAAAAAGTTCACTATTTCTTTTAACCACCATAGTGAAAGAAAATTTCCTTATCAAGAGCTGATATTAAAAAGGTGATCTTCATTTACTGACCCTTATAAGGAACAGTCACTGAATTCAACCATTTATTTAACCTGGAAAGATTTCATGAAGCTCCACCCAGGGCTGGCACCTCACTAGACGCTGAGGATACAGGGATGAGCAGGGTGGCATTGGCGCCTCCTCAGGAACTAAGATCCAGCAGACTGAATAACTGAACTTCCCAGAGGCGGCTCTTCTACCGTCCTTTAGCATCATTTACAACTAGTTCTTTCTCGTAGAAGATGACCAAAAATAAAGCTTTATTTACCCTTACTTGGAACAAGTTGAGGTATTCATAAGCAGATAAATTAAAAATATGCTCTCAGGCATGAGCATTCTCATGTTAGTATCTTGAGAACTTTTAAAAGCTTATGTGAGAGGACTTCCCTGATGGTCCAGTGGCTAAGACTCAGTGCTCCCAACGCAGGGGGCCCAGGTTCCATTCCTGGCAAGGGAACTCTACCCCACATGTCACAACCGAGGTCACATGCCACAACTAAAGATCCTGCATGCTGCAACAAAGATCAAAGATCCCACAGGCCGCAATTAAGACTCGGTGCACCCAAAACAAATAAATAAATATTAAGGGGAAAAAAGCTATGTGAAGAAGACAGGTAGTTCTTGCCTTTGGTATGATGTTCATGAAGTTGAAGGAGTGACTTCAAGCACTCGGCACTCTCAAACTCCTGAGTGTTCTGGAGGAACTCTTCTGCTTGGTCTATTTTAATGGCAAACTGCAACAGAAATACAAGGGAAACACATTTGAAAAGATAAAAACTGAAGTGCCACATTTGGTTATATGTAAATGTTTCCCATGAATTATTGGCCTAACCCATTGTGTATGTGTTTCTGGGATGATGTGTGTGTTTGTGTGAGCATGTGCTAGCTCACATGTTTGTATGAGGTTTCTGTGCCCATGTAGTCAATTTGCAAAGTGCCGAGATAAGAACTTTCCTCTGTCTGCTTTGCATTTCTTTCACACCTGGAAATACATATGTATGCTGAAATAAACCCATTTGGTTACAGTTCTAATGTCTATTGAAATTTTCAAGTAAAATTATTGTCTCCCATGTAACAAATACAGCTGCTGTCAACATTCTAAAGCAGTTTCTCAAAGAACAACCACAATGTTTGTTAAAAGAAACCTACAAAAGTTTGTGTAGCCAGTAACCTATATAGTTGTTAGTAAATTTAACTTAAAAATCCACTTAAAGAGGTTGAAATACATAGTTGATTCTTTTCTCGATAATTAGATGTAGAATTAAAAAAATGTAAGTCTCAGAACATAGCCTAATCCCATCTCTACACTTGATTTTAGGGCTGAGAAATTATGTCTAATCCTATTTCTTATACAAAGCAAAATACATATATTTGTACAGAAAGTGGTCAAAATAGAAACATATCAAAGGGTTATATTTGTGAGAAGGAATAGGATTAGAGACAGATGAGGAATGGCGTTTAGCTTTTAAATCTATAATATGTAATTTTGTTTGAATTTTTTATCAATAATTTTATGTACCTTTATTCAAATAAAATGAAATTAGATGCAGCAAAAAAGAAAACTGGAAAATGTCTCCTCTACTTCAAGGAAAAAAAAGAGAACGGCTATTTGACACCCGAAATGTTAAGGAACATGACCAGCCTCTCTTTTTGTATTTCTCCATAGAGGTAGTATGAAAGGGAGATGCTCAAAGTGATGTCAAGATTCTCAGGGGAATGAGCAAATTTTAGAAAAGAGCAAAACATACTCGGTAATGCTAGTACAGTATATGTGTGTGTGTGTGTGCGCGTACTCAGTAGCTCTGTCGTGTCTGACTCTTTGGGACCCCATGGACTATAGCCCATGAGGCTCCTCTGTCCATGGGATTTCCCAGGCAAGAATACTGGAGTGGGTTGCCATTTCCTCCTCCAGGGGATCTTCCTGACTCAGGAATCAAACCCACGTCTCTTGCATCTCCTGAATTGGCAGGTGGATTCTTGTGCCACTGCCTCACCTGGGAAGCCCACAGTATATCCACAGTAGTAGACAAATAACTCTTTTATTTCAGCATGAAAGTTCAAAGGAAACCATTACCATTTATGAGAGCATTCAAATCAACACATTCACCTTTGGATGATGTATAGAATAAACTCATAAAAGAGAAGTATCAGTGAGAAAGACACAAAAGCCTATCACAGTGCCTGTCATCTTTTTCAAGTTTTATCCAAACTCTCATCTTTGGATTTTGTGATATCTAATATTTTTATGTGACAATTTAAAGATCTATCGTGTTTGATTATTACAGCAACATAAAATCCAGTTATAAATGGCATGGAAAGATGAGAGAGCAATTGCTAAACACACCCGCTTCTGAAATACAGAGAAGGCTTCCACCATCCTGTTAGAACCAGCAGATAGACAGCCGCTGTCAACTGGGGACAGTGTTCCTAAACTGAAGAACAGTGTTTTAGAATAGAATAACCTATATGATAGTTAAGCCTGGGAGTCTGAAGTCATCTTGTACTAACCATCAACCACGTAATAACAAGTCATTTTGCATTTCTAAAGAACTGCATGCACACAGTTCACTAAGGACATCCTATCTATACATTGTTTACATCTCTAAATCATTCTAACAGTTGATTATAAGGATATTCTTTGAAGAGAAATTTCAAAGGAAAAACAAAACCCTGGGGGGTGATTTGGTTTTTCCTGTAGATCATTACAAGAAATTTTGTAGTCACTGTGTAACTTATACCTATATTTCAACTTGTTGTTTGACATATTTTTTAAAAAGACAACCCAATAAAGAAACAATGCTTTACTCAGAAAATCTTCCCTAATGTTCTATATTAACCTCTATCTCAGGGATATTTTCTTTTCCCTACTTTTCTTCTTTTTACAGTCAGTATAGGATGGAAGTGGCAACAGGGGGACACTTTTCCAAGACCCTATTCTTAGTTTTGCTTACACAAGGGGCAGGGAAAATCATGTAGGAGTTTTCCATCAGCTAAGTATGAAGTGGTTCACAAAATTGGAAGGAGGATAATATAAGAAACTTCATTTTTTCACTAGGAATCAGAGTACTGGGCTGAATTATGGGTTGACTTAGTAAGTATAATTCCTTTTACTTTATGTAGTATATGGAAGTCGTTTCTCATCATATAGAAAATCAGCTAGTATTAATGCTCCTACACAGTGAGAAACAAATATTGGACTTCATGTTTGAAAAAAGATAACTTCCTGTGCTCAGGCAACCTGAATTTCAAGTGCAGTTAATACTTATACCTCACCTACTAAGACAAAATGAATCAGATATGGCTATAATTTGACCCCTGTAGGTGCATTTCACCTGGTTTATTTCAAGAAAATTGTCCGTGGGACTTTTTCCCGAAATAATCTGTTCGTTGGACTTCATTGTTCAAACTGTGAAAAACAAACCTTGAAAGTTACAATAAGGTTTTTGCTCCTCCTTTTAACTTTTAAACGAGTTCATGATACATGAGATTGTCTACCTCAGTTTTAATGTTCTTTAACTAATCTTTCTTTCATTATTTTGGATTTAAGTCCTGAATTTTCAGTTTGGAAATATCATATTTTTCAAAGCTAGGGCTTTGTCATAATGAAGCAGTGCTCTCACATCAAAATGAATGAACTGCCACTTGACAGAGAAGTTAGAAGTGACATTTCCAGTAACTACCTTACACTAAATAGAACACCTCCTCTGAAACTGTTCTTTGAGTCTCACATTTTGAAATTGGGTTCTTCAAAAAATGTCAGAATTCAAGAAAAATCATGACCTTCTTAGGTCCAGGACTTTTTCCTTCCATATATTTTAACGAGCTCAAACTACAGAAATTCAACTACATGCCTTAGAGAGTACTCTATCACATGCTATGCTGACAAGTCAAACATTCTATGGACTATTATTCTGCAGTTGCCTTATCATAAGAAGCAGAAGAAACTGCGTCCTCCAACTGGTACTTAACAGGAACATGTTAGAACAGCATTTCCTAGTAATCCTATAATCAGAGGTAATTGTTTGATTTAGTAATTGTATTATTATTACCTAAAGAGAGAAATATATCAAAATGGATTATGGGTAAAAATTCCCATTTTTACTTAATATTTGCCAATTTTAATTATTGCACTTATCTTTTGTTTGAAGGTATACATTCAAAATACTAAAACTTTTATTTTGACAATTAAAGTTTAAATGTATATAACTTGGTTATTCTGCTGTTTTAAAAAATATCTGATCGCAATGTCTATTCAGAAAGACAGGATTTTCAGGAGTGTCATCCATTTACTCTGAAGTGGAGAAGGGAAACTCTTTTTAACAAACCTCCAAGGCGTTTTCAAAAAACTCAGAGGTCAATCTGAGAAGCTCCCTCCTTCTCTCAAGCATGGAGACCAGGGCTGCCCATGCTTCGCCCAGAGTTTTGGCCATTGCGTCATAGACCTGACTCTGATCCTTGTTCTCTTCAGCAGTCCTATCTGCTTCTTGCAGGAGTTCCCAGACTCGATCTTCCAAAACCTAAGGCCAGGGGAAAAAAAGGCAGAGTGTCACTCTGTGTAAGAACTTGGGATCATATTTTAAACACCTAGATTTTTGAAATTGTATGTAGTTTAGGAAGGTCTAGAAAAGAATTTATAAACACAAATTGTTGTGCAGGCAGGTAGTAATGCATCCAGGAGACAGCAGTTGAGACTGTGGTAAACTGGGGAGCATGGCCAGGCTAAAGGCATCCACATTTGAATGTTGTTGAAACACCATAGAGATTTATTTTAAAAAATGCATGATTACATACACAGGGGCACAGAATACCATACCAACTTCACATTACACAAAAAGAGAACTAATTGAAACACTTCTAGAAAGGAGTAATCATGAAAAAAAATTGTGAGAAATGAACCCAGTAAAACTTTTTATTCGAAATAGTTGTTACTGTTAACAAGCTTGTGAAGCTTAATGCAAATGTTAAGAGTAAGTTCTTGAAAGTGAACAGTCATAATGTAAAAATTAGAGTATCTGTAACCAACACTGCATATTGCTTGAACAAAATGTGGAAGATGAAGGGTAACATGTGCTTTCATAATTGTCTCATTTGGGGGCAGGAGGAGGATCCCACAGATGCTACTCTATTCTTGATACTGGCACCAAAATCAAGGCACAATTTTAAAATATAATACATTAACAATAACATGAATAAATTCTGAAGTGTCAGCATAAAAGGAAACTAAACATGTGATGATGCAAAATACAACAAAGAAAAAGAATACATTTATTATGATACACAAAACAAAATGATAGAAATGTAATCAAATATCAGTTAACACTCAAAACATGAATGAGTTAATTTTTTCAATTAAAAGGCAAACAGTATCAGATTAAGGGGAAAAAATTAAACTAATTTATATTTACTGGAGTCATCCCTCAACTAAAAAGATATAAAATCTTAAAATAAAGAGATGAGATATACTAGCAGAGACAAAAATAAAGGAGAATTAGCAATGTTAATCTCAGAAAAATTAGAAATCAAAACAAAAAATCATTGTGATTAAAAAACATTACTTTATATTGATAAATAACATAATTTGCAGGGGAAATAAGGCACTCATGATGTTTATATTTATGACATTAAAATATTTAAAGTAGGTATGTGCGTGCGTGCTAAGTCACCTTAGTCATGTCCAACTCTTTGACACCCTATGAACTGTAGCCTGCCCAGGCTCCTCTGTCTCTGGGATTCTCCAGGCAAGAATACCAGAGTGGGTGGCCCTGTCCTTCTCCAGGGGGTATTCTTGACCCAGGGATTGGATCCACATTTTTTAACTCTCCTGCACTGGCAGATGGGTTCTTTACCACTGGTGCCACCTATACCCAGTCAGACCAAAATGCAATACAAGTAGAAATAAACAACAAAAGACCAGATAATAAAAGAAATCTCTTATAAATTTTAAGAAAACACTTTAAAGAAAAATTCCTAGATCAAATAAAGAAAAAACTATAAATACAGGCTACTTAGAAGAAAAAAATAACAATGAGGCTACTATGTTTAAAACTTAAGATACACAGATATTTTATGCTTAGATGAAATTCATAGCATTAGACAACTTTGTTTTTGAAAGAAAAAATACATAAACATTCAAGTTTAAATTATAGAAAAAGACTCATAAATTAAGACAAAAATTAAAGGGGATTAACTTATTCAATATAAAATCAGAAATTAACAAATGAGAGATAAATATAAGAATCGATTTTTTTAAAGGTTGAGTTATTGAAAAATCAAATGAAATATAAAAACATCTGACAGGTGGGATCAAGATGGCAGAGTGGGAAGATCCTGAGCTCATGTCCTCCCACAGACAAACCAACACTAGAACTACATATAGAACAACTCATTCTGAGAAACATCTGAAGACTAGTATAATGGCTCTCCCAAAATTAAGGAAAATTTTGAAAACTACATCAAGATGGAGAGAAGTGGCAGAGGTGTAATGTAGTCAGTATACATACTACCAGTGCAGGGACCCACAAGTGGGAAGGGATACCACAAATTCGAAAGTCCTAAGGAGCAAGGGGTTCGAGCCCCATGATGGGCACCTCAGCCTTTGGTACCAGCAGTGGTAGGACAAGGCTCCCTTAGCTGACTTTAAAAACCAGCAGGGCTCATGTAGAGCTAGAGCGCTATGCTAAACTGAGACTCTTAAGAGGCTTGGACACTAACTTACTCACTTGAGTCTCAGTGCAGAGGCAAGTTTGAAAAGTGCCTGTTGCTCTAGCCAGCCTGCCAAAGTTGTCCAGCACATGCAGTCTATTAATACATAGAAGATGAAGAAAAGCTATGACCAATCTAGACAGCATATTAAAAAGCAGAGACATTACTTTGCCGACAAAGGTCCATCTATTCAAAGCTATGGTTTTTCCAGTAGTTATGTATGGATGTGAGAGTTGGGCCATAAAGAAAGCTGAGTGCCAAAGAATTGATGCTTTGGAACTGTGGTGTTGGAGAAGACTTCTTGAGAGTTACTTGGACTGCAAGGAGATCAAACCAGTCAATCCCAAAGGAAATCAGTCCTGAATATTCATTAGAAGGACTGATGCTGAAGTTGAAGCTCCAATACTTTGGCCACCTGATGAGAAGAACTGACTCATTGGAAAAGACCCTGATGCTGGGAAAGATTGAAGGTGGGAAGAGAAGAGGATGACAGAGGATTAGATGATCGGATGGTATCACCCACTTGATGGACATGGGTTCGAGCAAGCTCCGGGAATTGGTGAAGGACAGGGAGGCCTGGCGTGCTGCAGTCCATGGGGTCACAAAGAGTTAGACATGACTGAGTGACTGAACTCATGCTCCTACTCAAGATCACACCTTCAAGATTGGGAGAAGTAACTGCTTTGTCTAGCCCATAGAAACAAACAGAAAACCAAACAAAAAAGAGGAATTTGTTCCAAATGAAAGAACAAGATAAAACCAATGGTTTTACCCTGATGAAAAAAAACCTAATGAAATGGAGATAAGTATTAGGTTGATACACAAGTAATTGTGGTTTCAGACCATGAATTTTAAATCATTTTAACTAGCCTCGAACACATCTTTACTAATCAAAATAGAAACCATTACAATCAACACATTGTTGCCGATGAGAAATAAGTTTGTTTACTCCTGTAGGGTAAAAATCCATGCTTCAGGATTCGATGAACTCTTGGAAAGCATTTTCTGCCTCCTGCTGGTTGTGGAAACATTTTCCCTGCAAAAAGTTGTTGAGATGCTTGAAGAAGTGGTAGCTGGTTGACAAGAGGTCAGGTGAATATGGTGGATGAGGCACAACTTTGTAGCCCAAATCGTTCAACTTTTGAAGCTTTGTGTGATGCACAGAAGAATTGGGCCCATTCTGTTGACCAACACTAGCCGCAGGCATTGCGTTTCTCAGTGCATCTCATCGATTTGCTGGGCATATTTCTCAGATGTAACAGGTTTTGCAGGAAAGCTGTAGTGAATCAGACTGTCAGCAGACCACCAAACTGAACACCAGGTCTTTTTCGGTGTAAGCCTGGTTTTAGGAAGTGCTTTGGAGCTTCTTCTCGGTCCATCTGGAGCTGGACATTGCAGGTTGTCAAATAAAATTCACTTTTCAATGCACATCACAATCCGATCAAAAAATGCTTTGTTGTTGTTGTGTAGAATAAGAAAAGAGACTTCAAAACAACAAATTTTTTGATTTTCGATCAGCTCATGAGGCAACTACTTACCAAGCTTTTTCAACTTTCCAATTTGCTTCAAATGCTGAATTAGCACAAAATGGTCAACACTTAGATCTTCAGCAACTTCTCATGTAGTTGTAAGAGGATTAACTTCAATGATTGCTCTTAATTCGTCACTGTCACTTTCTGATTGCCAGTCACTGCACTTCTCATTTTCAAGTCTGTTGTCTCCTTTGCAAAACTTCTTAAATCACCACCACACTGTATGTTCATTAGCAGTTCCTGCATCAAATGCATTGTTGATGTTGCGAGTTGTCTCTGCTGCTTTACAACCCATTTTGAACTTGAATAAAAAATCAGTCAAATTTGCTTTTTGTCTAATATCATTTCTATAGTCTAAAATAAACAGCAAGTAATAAGTCATCAGCAAAAAAAAAAAAAAGGAGAAATGAGCATTTAAAATGATGTATATCATAACCACATTTAAGAATGTATTCCAGTATCAAAGGGCAAAGTTCAACAATGTAAAACTGCAATTACTTTTGCACCAACCTAACAATTGCCTGATAAAAAAGTACAAAATGAAACTGTTAGTTGTTCAGTCATGTCTGACTCCTTGTGACCCCAGGGACTGTAATCTGCCAGACTCCTCAATCCATGGAATTCTCCAGGCAAGAATACTGGAGTGAGTTGCCATTTCCTTCTCCAGGGGATCTTCCCAACTCAGGGATAGAACCCGCGTCTCCTGTGTCTCCTCCATTGGCAGGCAGATCCTTTAATGTCTGAGTCACCGGAGAAGCCCAAATAGTCCAAAGCAACAGTCATAAAATCACACACCAAACTCAGAAGAAGAATGGAGGAACACAATAAGAATTTCAACAAAGCTAAAAAATATAAAAAAGAACCAATCAATATAAAACTGACATAAAAAAAGAACTAAAGAATACAATAACTAAAATAATATACTGGAGGGAATAAACTACAGATTAGATGATGCAGAAGAACACATACACAATCTGAAAGACAAAATAGTGGAAATCAGAACAACAATGATAGTTTAAGAAAGCTCTGGGATAAATTGAGATTATAAACATTTGCATTACAGGGGTCCCAGGACAAAGAGAGAAAGAGGCATGTTGTTGGAAATGGCTACATTTCATTCTCTTTTGTGGGTGAGTAATATTACATTGTAAATATACACCACATCTTCTTTATCCATTCATATGTTGAAGGACACTTAGGCTGATTTCAATTCTTGACTATTGTAAATAGTGCTACAAATAAACATTGGGGTTGCTTGTTACCCTAGCATAGCCAGGTATATT